ACCAATCGCGAGGAACAAAGCGAACGATTCTGGCAAAAGCGAGTCACCATTACATGCTCGGTCCGCCTTTAGAGTAGGCCCAATCGATGGACCTTTGGAGTACAGGACGAGGTTTCCATCAGTCTGGAATCTGAGTTCAAAGCCCTCAGTTGTGCCGGTGGCGGATTCGGCATTGCCGCTGACCGCATCCCCCGACACGGTGAGCTTCCCAGTGTAGTGGACAAGGTTGCCATCCGCCTGGAGGACGAGTGTGTCGTCGCCGTTAGCGATGCACTGGCCACGACTGAGGGTGTCGCCTGGCACCATCACGCCACATGGGAAAGGCTCGTAAAGGCCGCTGCAGTACGAGCAGCTCCCGTGGGACAGTAGAGCGCTCAGAGCGACAGCGAAGGATATGCGATGCATTCCTGCGCCAATGGATGTTTGGGAGTCATAGCACGTGGGCGAGCGGGGCCTGTAGCAGGGAGGCTTGGGCTCTCGCGGACCTACACCGTCGCAGCGGTCAAGTGGGCGAGCGGTAAAGGCACGATGAGCCGCTGCGGCGTGGGCATGGCGGTTTGGTAAGAATAGGTGAGCGAGCGGGGCGAGGTGGCGGTCGGCGAGTGGTCACGTGCGGCGTGAGGACGACCCGGTGATCGTAAAGCAGAGCGTGTTGGGTGCGCAGTGCGACGCAGGCTGCGCGGCACGGGCGGGCTGGGGGCGTGCCGGGGAGGCGGACCAGAGAGGAGCGAAGTGCTCAAGCAATTCACGTGGGCAGAGAGCCGCGCACCCTGACCAACTGGTCAAGGACGCATCCGACAGCGTGACATCCTTTACTCGAGTACCGACGAATCAAAAGGGAGACGACGCGTGATTCTCTTTAGGGACACACACACACACACACACACACACACACACACACACACACACACACACACACACACACACACACACACACACACACACACACACACACACACACACACACACACACACACACCGCTCACCCACGCGCACCGGGCCTTGCACTTTGAATGCCGTGGGGCTCCTGTCGTTAGACGTGGAGACGCGAGGGTTGCCCCCCCTTGCCCCACCACCTCGTGTGTGTGGAGAAGTTTACCTTACCTTACCTTACCACCGCTCGTACAGCCACCACCTCGCAACAATCTCTCTCCACCGTGCACCTCTCGCACCTCGACAAGGACTACATCAAGGAGACAGCGAAACCATCCATCCGCGCCGACGCCATCGGCGTCTCTACCGCCTCCCAGACATTGGTTGTCGGATCATACCGCTCGACCGAGCTGAGGGTCGAGGCGCCGTTGTGCCCGCCAACAGCATACAACTTGCCGTCGAGCGCCGCCGCGGCCAGCATCATCCTCACTGTAGTCATCGGCGCCACTGCCTCCCACGCGTTCGTCACGGGATCGTACCGCTCCACCGAGCTGAGCCGTATGCCGTCGTGACCACGCCCGCCCGCAGCGTACAGCTTGCCGTCGAGCACCGCCACGGCGAGCCTGCTCCGAGCCTCCGCCATCGGCGCCACCTCCTCCCAGGCGTCCAAGGCCGGGTCGTACCGCTCGACCGAGCTGAGGATGCCACCGCCGTACCCGCCCACAGCGTACAGCTTGCCATCGAGCACCGCCACGGCGTGATTCTCGCGTGCTGTCGCCATCGGCGCCACCGCCTCCCACGCGTTCGCAGCCGGGTCGTACCGCTCCACGGAGCTGAGGAGGCCGTCGTCGTCATCGCCTCCCACAGTGTACAGCTTGCCGTCGAGCACCGCCATGGCGTGAACAAACCGCTCGACCGCCATCGGCGCCACAGCCTCCCACGCTTTCGTTTCAAAGTCGTACCCCCCCCCCCCCCCCCCGCTCCACCAGGTTGGAAGTTGCGCCGTCCTCCTCGTCGTCCTCGCCATCGTCTACCGCAACTTGGCCGCCCGCCGCGTAGAGCTTGCCATCGAGCACCGCCGCGCCGACATAGTTTCGTGCCGAAGGCATCGGCGCGACAGCCTCCCGCTCCCACTCATTCGTTGCCGGGTCGTACCGCTCCAGCGAGTCGAGGAACTCGTAGTCGCTGTCGTGGCCGCCGAACACGACCAGGCGCGGCCGCTCGCGCTTCTTCAGCGTCTCCTTCCAGCCGCGGCGCCACGCGCGGCACGTCCCCTTGACGGCGTGCGCCTTGGTCGGCAGCTGGGCGAGGATGTGCGGGGCGAGGTCCGGCGAGAGGAGGACCTCGGAGAGGACCCACTCGGGCTGCTCCACGAGCCGTGCGGCGTGCTCCTCCGCCACGCGCAGCGCGGCGTCGCTCGCGCCCGCCTGCGCCTCGATGATGGCGCACAGCTGCGCTGGCGAGAGGCCCGCGACGCGCGCGCCGATGCGGTGGGAGGCCATGGCGCTGCGTTTCTTTTTTGTGCCGTGCGGGGCGCTCGAGCGTGACATGACGGACATCGGCGACGACGAGCGGGGAGACGACACCGACGATCGCCCGCTTGACATCTCGCCGTCGGACGATGCGGCCACGTGAAGAAGGTGTGACACCGTCGCACTGCGGGGCATGCCCCTCTCCCCGGTGGCAGGGGATGAGACAGTGCCGATGCTGCAGCACTTTGCGCGGCATTACAATGACATCAGCCAACGGCGTGGCGATGTCGCGCGCGTCTACGCGGTGCGCGCACGAGACAAGGAGTTTGGCCTATGCCACACGTACGAGCTTGGCCGCTTCTGTCCGTCCATGCTGCCGTCGGCGCAGCGCATCCCGCCTATTGGCGACCTCTTCACGCAGCACAGCACCTCTCCAGTCCCGAAACAGGGCACGCTCGCTGCTGTCGGGGCCCACGAAGCGTGGATCGCGTGCCTGGCGGCGTGCGAGGAGATTGACAAAAACACGCCGCAGTCGGAGGCGATCAGTTCCAGGGAGGCGACTCGCTACATCTCGATCTCCCAGTTCGGCGCTGCTGGATGGCTCGACATGCGCCCTGATGGGCTCTACCACACGAAGATGGTGTCGGCGATGTTCCTGACGGCGATACAGCGCAGGCACGGGCTCTACTTGTCGGTGATTGCGCCCACTCTCGTCGAGCAGGCTGCCGCGGGCGAGGCGAAGTTTCTGCCACGGGGCGTCTACAAGCAGCGAGAAACTACTCGGGTAATTCTCGAGAACCTCGAGAAGGAAGTCGCACCCCCACGGGGCAACGGTATCACGAATTCCCGCCATCTGTGCGTGAAGCCCCACCGTGTGTATGGCCCGCAAGGTGATCTTCCTCATCGGTGCGGACGACGACGTCGTCCTCGACCCGCGCCTCGCCGAGCGGCGCCGCCGCGCCCGCACCTCGGGGGCCGCCGCGCCGCCGCCCGCCGCCTCGCGCTGGGCCGGCCGCCAGTCGGACGAGGCGATCGTTGCGTGCGTCGGTGAGCGGTTCGCGGAGCTGGAGGTGTGCGTGGCCCGAACGCCGGAGGAGCTGCTGCGGAGCAACGCCGAGGCCGTCGTCGTCATCTCGTACCTCACTCAGACGTCATTTGCGTGGTACGCTCGCTTCTTTGACGCGCTGCGCGAGCTCGAGGCACGCGGGACCAAGGTGTACCCTTCCGCTGCCTTCAAGCAGCTCGTCTCCTCCAAGGCGGACTACCTCCTCCTCCTCGAGCGGACCGGCCTCCCCGTCTGCCCAACTCGCCTCCTGGGCCAGGCGGCGCTCACCGAGCCGGCGACCTCCTCCGCCACTGACGGCAGCGCGGGCGGCAGCCGGGCGGACCCGGTTGCTCTCGAGGCTGCGCTGCGCTCCTCGCTCTCCGAGCTCGGCCTGCTCTCCACCCGGGAGGGCGGGCGCCCCTCACCCGCCTCGCGCCGCTACGCGCCCTTCCAGCTGGTGAGCAAGCCCTCCAACGCCGACGGCGGGTACGGCGTCGCCTTCTGGCTGGGCGGCGGCGAGGCGGCGGCGGAGGGCGAGGCGGCGGTGGCGGAGGTGGCGGAGGAAGAGGAGGGTCCGTCGCTGCCGCTGCTGTCCTCCCTCCGCCTCGCCGCGGTCCTCACGTGCGGGTGCGAGCTGCCGCAGCTGACCGGCGGGACTGCGGCCGCCCCGCCGCCCGCCCGCCGCCCGCCCACACGCCGTGCAGTTCGGGCGTCGCGCGGGCGGGGCGAGGGGGAGGGCGGCGGCGGAGAGGCCGGGCGGCGCCGCTACCCTTTCCAGCGCTACCTCGAGACGGTCGGCTTGTCGGATGGGCGGCCTCACGTGCTGCTGCAGCCGCTGGTGCCGTCCGTGGCGATGCAGAGGCCGAGCTGCACTCGCTGTTGGATCGAGTCTTGAGTCATTCGTAGGTGCCGTCCGTGGCGATGCAGAGGCCGAGCTGCACTCGCTGTTGGATCGAGTCTTGAGTCATTCGTAGGTGCCGTCCGTGGCGATGCAGAGGCCGAGCTGCACTCGCTGTTGGATCGAGTCTTGAGTCATTCGTAGGTGCCGTCCGTGGCGATGCAGAGGCCGAGCTGCACTCCCTGTTGGATCGAGTCTTGAGTCATTCGTAGGTGCCGTCCGTGGCGATGCAGAGGCCGAGCTGCACTCCCTGTTGGATCGGGTCTTGAGTCATTCGTAGGTGCCGTCCGTGGCGATGCAGAGGCCGAGCTGCACTCCCTGTTGGATCGAGTCTTGAGTCATTCGTAGGTGCCGTCCGTGGCGATGCAGAGGCCGAGCTGCACTCCCTGTTGGATCGGGTCTTGAGTCATTCGTAGGTGCCGTCCGTGGCGATGCACTACGAGGTGAAGCTCTACTTCCTGCGCCGACAGCCCTTCTACGCGGCCCTCGTCTACGGGAAGGAGTCGGTGGTGGCGAGGGTGGCGAGGCCAGCCTCCGACCCGGCGCTGTTTGCGTACTTTGCGCCTCTGCTGCGCGAGTCGCGCCGTGTCCTCGACGCACCGCCCCCCCTCCCGCCGGGCCGCTCAAGCCCTCCTCCTCAACCAGCGAAGCCATCTAGCAGCCACGCATAGGCGCTCCCTCCCGACGGGCCTCTCGACCCAAAGATCCTCCTCCGCGTCGACTGGTGCGTCGGCAGGCCGCAGGGGCCAGCGCAGCGCACGCAGGGCGGAGGCGGCGGCAGCGGAGGCGAGGAGGGCGGCGGCGATAGGGGCGGCGGCGGCGGCAGCGGAGGCGAGGGAGGCGGGGGCGGGGGCGGAGGCGACGGCAGCGGAGGCGAGGAGGGCGAGGGCGAGGCGCGAGGGCGCGAGGCGCCCCCGCCGTCGCCGCGATCGCTCAAGCGCTCGCTGCAGCTGCGCGCAGGCCGCGCCGAGTCGCCGGAGCGCCGGCTGCGCGCGGCGATGGCGGCGCAGGCAGAGGCGCCGCTCTCGGGCGAGGAGGCGTACTTCATCAACGAGGTCGAGATACACCCGGGCTACTACGTGGATTGGGACGAGGCGCCCGACGAGACTATCGAGCCGCTCGCCGAGGCGTACGGAGAGTACCTCGTCGAGCTCCTCTGTGGCCCCGCGCCACCGGCTCCGCACGCGCAGCCGCCAGCGGGGATACAGATGCCTCCGGCGTAGAGTCTAGAGAGACAGAGTTAAGAGACAGAGTGTGGCACCCTGGCAGGGAATATCCCTGTGGGGGGGCGCGCGGGGGCATGCTGTCTTTCACTTGGTAAAGGGCGCTCGCTCTATTTTCCCTCGTTAGCGTGCGTGTGCACCGGCGCACCGGGGCGCTATCCGCTTTCTGCACACGACAGTGCACAGATGGTCAGTCAGACGCACACGCGCGTCGACAGTACTATACGACACGACACGAGTAAAACGCAATTTTTTTTATACGACACGACACGTTTCAGAGAGGTGAGACGGACACTATATTCGCGGCGCGGCAAGGCCGCGCCCAATCCGGTGCAGTGCGTCCGCCTCGGCGTAGTAGCCCGCCCTCGCCGCGTGCCGCGCCTGCTGGCCGAAGAAGTCCTCGTCGGGAGGCAGGCGCGCCGCCGCCATCTCCTCGCCCAGCCAGCGCGCGAGGGGGAGCTGGCGGCAGTTCCACATCGCGCACGCCGCCGCCGTGTGGAAGGGGAGGCTTGGAGGCAGCCCAGCAGCGCGCATCTCCTCGAGGAGGAAGAGGACGCGCCTAGGCGAGATGTGGCGAGATGTGGCGAGATGTGGCGAGATGTGGCGAGATGTGGCGAGATGTGGCGAGATGTGCCGAGGTCGCGTCTCCCCGTCTCGGGTCGGTGCGGTGCACAGCCTCGCGATCTCGGCACATCTCGGCTGATCTCGGCTGATCTCGGCTGATCTCGGCTCCTCTCGGCTCGGCCTCGCCTCGGGTCGGAGCGGTGCAGTGTCGCCAGAGCCGCGTATGTGCCGCCGTCCCAGCACACGCCCTCCCTCTCCATCCGGGAAAGCGTCGCCTGAGTCAGAGAGCCACAGCCACCGGCGGTGAAGGCCGCGCTCTACACAGCACGCCCCCCCCCTCCCCTACCCCTCCCGGGCTAGCGTCGCCTTGACGCGACTACCCGCCGCCGCCCCTCCACCGCCCGCCGCCGCCGCCGCCTCGCCCTCGGCGCGGGTCCCAACGCCGCCCCTCCCGTCGCCGCCCCTCTCGCCGCCGACCTGTTTCTCCTCCGCCGCCCGAAGCAGTCGCAGGTACTCCTGCACCGCCCCGCCGCTTCTGAGTCTGGCGGTAGCCTCTGCGCCCGCCTCTGCGCCAGCCTCTGCGCCAGCCTCTACGCCCGCCTCTGTGTTCATCTTTGCTCCCGCCGCCGACACCGCCGCCGACTCCGCCGCCAACCCCGCCTCCACCGCCGCCGACTCCGCCGCCGACCCCGCCTCCACCGCCTCCACCGCTGCCACCGCCTCTCCCGCACCTACTCCCACCTCCTCCGCCCCCTCCTCAGGAGTGAGCAAGAGCGAGCCCGCCACGCCGCTGATGCCGCTCCCGCCGGCGCCGCCGTCACCCCCTCCGCCTCCCAATCCTGCTCCACCACCACCACCACCACCACCACCACCACCACCAGCGCCCAGCGGCCGGGCGTACAAGTTGAGCATCGCGTTGAAGTCGGCGACGGAGCGGCGCGGAAGCGCGTGAAAGATCTCCTCGGCGGCCGATGCGGCGCCGCACCGCGCGCACGCGTGGAGGACGGCGCGCCAGGACGCCTCCCTCGCCGCTATCCCCTCCGCCGCCGCCTCCTTCAGCGCGCGGCGTGCCGTCCTCCAGTTGCCCGCGGCACACTGCAGCGCGACAAGAGCGTGCAGCGCGTCGGCCGGCGCGGGAGGGACACCCGAGCGCGCCGCACCCGGCTGCCCTGGAGGTGTCGGAGCACCCTCCACGTCCCACTCTCGTAGGGGCGGGTCGGATTGAGCACGGCCGAGGGCGCCTGCGGCCACCCGCTCCATCCCGCGGCGCGAGCCGCGCGGACGAGCCCGCGCCTCGGCGCGGACGCGCTGTCGGAGCGCGATGGCGCGCTGCCGAAGGCCGGGCGGCAGTCCAGGCGCGGCGATCGGAACGGGGCGGGGCATAGGAAAGTGTGGCTACTGTGGTGCATGAATGCTTGCCCAGGTGTGAACAACACCTCGTGACCACGGCGCCGCAGGCGCCTGTTGATGGGTCCAGGTGATAGCCCTGGATGGGCAATGCATACGCCTAGTTGGGCCTTAGATCGCCCGACCGCGTCCCGGTGCTCTGTGGTCGGATTTGTGACGCCGCCGCACCGCGCCGCGGCCGGGGGCCCTCCTGAGGCCAAGGATGGCCGTGGCGTACCGGGATGAGCTCTGGGAGGTGGAGTGTCAGTGAGTATATTGTAGAGACAGACCGTGTGCACACTATCTCTCACTCTAGCTAAGCCAGGGGAGGCGATGCTGGGGCCGTACAGCAGCTTGATGGTGCTTCGCCGGCATGCGTCCCGGAGCGGTGCCGGACGGGCGGTCCGGGGGAGAAAACTCAGGACAACGCCGACACCGCTCTGATTCGACTTTTGACTTCAAACAAAGACAGTCGCACGCGCCACAGCACGGCGCGTGCGACTGTCAGGAGCGGATCCGTCAGTTAGTTGTGTTCACGGCGCGATCGTGTCCTGAGTAACCTGGGCAACCATTCAGGGCGACGAGTAGCTCGTGGGAAGGCAGCCCGCGGGAACCCGCCGCCTCCCAAATAACCCGGGGGAAAGGTGTCCACACCCCAAATCGGGTCCGGACTTCGGACCCGATTTCGCTGCCGCCTCGCGCGCGCCGCTGCTGCCCTCGCCGTGCAGCCCCCGCGGTCGCAGAGAGTGCCATCGTGCGGACTGGCGGTCGACTCGCCACATCGGTTTCAACTCACGCGCGCCCGGCCGATCGCGCAGCGTCGCGTTGAGCGTGCTGTTCCGCGTCGTCATCCAAGCTGGTGGGCCCCAGCACGACGCGAAGAGGCGCATCACACTGCCGTCATTGCTATTGCGGCTGCCATTGCTGCTGCTGCTGCTGCTGCTGCTCTTGCTGCGCGCCAGCGCCGCGCGCACGATCGGCGTCTGCGTACGGCGGCGGGTCGGCTGCTGTGCGAGCAGCTATGCCTCGCGGACGTGATCCTGATGAACAAGGCGGACCTCGTGAGTGAGGAGGCGCTGGGCGTGGCGGTGCAGCTCGTGCGTTGCCTCAACCGCACCGCGCGCGTGCTGCCGACGCGTCGCGCGCAGGTGGCCGACGTCGGCTCCCTCCTGAATCAGCACGCCTTCTCGTTGCAGCGAGCGCTCGCCGTGGACGCACGCTTCCTGGAGGACCGCGAGAATAGTAACGGCGCCCGCGAGAGCGCGCGCCCGCAGCAGCCGCGCCCGGCAGCGCCGCGTTTGCGTTTGCGCGCCGCCCGCCCTCGCGCCCGCCACCGCCGATGCCGAGACTCGCAGCCGAATGGGAGACGGCAGCAGCGAGCCACGTGCACGCGCTCTTTGGATCCGTGGGCCTCGAGGCGGCATGCGATCTGGACGAGCTGAGCTTCCACGATTGGATCGAGGGCGTGTTTGCGCAGTACGGCAAGCGGCTGTACCGGTGCAAGGGCATGCTCTTCTTTGAGACGGCGTGCGCGAGCCGACCGCGGTGCCACGTCGAGTGCGAGCGCATGGCCGCGGATGCCGTCGAGGCACAGGTGGCGGCTGAGCGCCGCTCGCGGCTGATCTTCATCGGGAGGACACGAGGGATTGAGCAGGTGCTGGAGGGGGGCTTCGCGGCGCTGTGAGGTGAGAGCAGGACGACGCGAGCGGAGCAGCACCGCATGTTTGAGCTTTTGGCAGCCAGGCCGGCCGGGCGGCTGGGGCCGCGCGCGGAGTCACGTCTCAGTGTGTCACGAGCAGCGGTCTCTGTGTGTTATTGTTATTCCGATATTGTTATTTTGTGTATACACACACTCCGCGTGACCGCACCGGCCTAGCTCGTCTCTGTGTGTGTGTCGGTCGTCTCTAAAGCCGTATACGTACAACCACAGCCACATCTGTAGCGAGCTTGCTGCGTGCCACTCCTCGTTGCGACCCAGAGCCACGCGGCGGCAGCACCTTGGTCTCGAGCGCATGGATGAGAGCGGCCGGGGCATCGTGGTGTGCGTGCTCCCGGCTGTCGTAGACGAGAAAGTGAGCAACGTGGCGCAGGTAGCTTTGCCGCTCCTCTATCTCGCGTGACGGCATCTGCAGCAGCTCGGCTAAGCGCGTCGACGCGTCTTTGGGCGGCACGTCGACGACAATCTTGCTCCAATTGATGAGGAGCGGGAACGGATACGCCGGTGGCGCGACGCGCTCGTCGCGACGGTAGCCGTCCACGCGCACAGGTAGGCAACCATGGAGCAGCGCAAAGTAGAAGCGAGCGGTGAAACCCTTGCTGTCGCCGGTCGGGCATAGGCAAAACGTCGACGACAGTGCAATCTGGGCGGCCTCAGCTGGCCCGTTCATGTGCTCCGTGATCAGTACGCGGTCGTCTGGCACATTAACGAGCTTGCTGGCCGCTCGAAGCTTGCCGGCGATCTCGCCGCGCACTCCGGCGCGCTTCATATTCGCGTTCATTGAGGCCAACAAACGACGCGGACCAACGGCGGGCGCCTTGAAGCCAAATGGCAGCCACTGTGACACACGGTGCGGCACGGTCAGGCCATGCCGCAAACGATGTTTATCTCGATTGGCTGCCAGCCGCAGGTCATGCACGCTGCCGCTGTAATCGTCGTCGCCGAGGTGCAGCACAATGGAAGAGCTCATCAGCGGGTTGAGCCCAACGCCGACGAACTGGCTGTCGCAGCTAAACAAGAAGAGGTGCCGCGAGGCGGTCTGGTTGTTGAGATGCGTCAGGTTCTTTCCGATTGCGATTGCGGAGCGCATCATCTCGCGGTGCATGCAACGCTCGTTGCCAGGCATGTTCTTCACCTGCCATCCCAGCGTCATCATGGTGCCAAAGAAGAATGGCACCAGGAATAGATCTGCGTTGTTTGGATCGGTTGTGTGCTGGCACGTCTCCATGAGGCGATGGTAGATGGGAACTTCGGCTGTGTATTGGCGGATATTGTTGTATCCAAACGAGCCGTAGTTGCAGTGCGCCTCAAGGCATGAGATATTTCGTGCTGTTGCGTCTGCGCTCACCCGGACGTTGGAGGTGCCAAAAATGTGACCTGTGCGCTGCTGAAATCGCAGGTGGTGCAACAGTTCCCTATACACAAAGAGCCTCAAGCGACAAGCATGACGCCGCAAGGGTGTATTGCTGCCGTCACCACGGTTGCCGTGGACGGCGGAGGCGTTGGCCTCGGCCATGCGTGCGCGACTGGAATCGAAGGCGATGCGCGCGGCGCGCGCTTGTTTGGAGTTTGGGATCTGAGCCGGAACCTCGACTGCTGTCGGCGGCAGCGAGGCCTGCCTCGGATGTCGTCATGCTGGTGCCCCGCAGGCTGCAAGCCACGTCGATCGCAGACCCGACCCGTGCGCAAAATAGCGGGCATGCAGCACTGGCGTGGCCCGCCAGGGCGACCGGAGCAGCCGTGTCCGCCGCACAGCCCGCAAGTAGCGTTGCAGCAGACTTGGTGGGTCGGGTGCACGACGCCGGCCGAGCAGTCGGCGAATCGACGAGAGGAGGCCGTGTGCCCCACGAGCCTGATGGAGAGGTTGAGACGGTGGTGGAAGACCAGGCGGTGCGCCTCGGCTGACGGCGAGAAGGACGAAAACGAGAAGGACAACCCCTTCGGCGGACCCCTTCCGGCTCCCGAGACCCATCCGAAGCACCGCGCTGGCGCGCTTTGGCCTCGACTTTGACGACGGAGCCGCACATGCGCGGGCGGCCCTCGCGGTGATTGGAGTCCACAGAGAGCTAGCGGCGGAGTTCCTCCGGGGGGAGACCAGGGAGAAGGTGCTTGTGGCGGTGGGAGCGGCCCTCCTCCCAGGAGCGGAGCCAACCGTGTCTAGGAAGGCAGTCAAAGGCCTGTTCTGCGCCACCGAGATGGATGGCACGTACTCCGCGTGGCGCACCCGTAATGACATCCCGGAGGATAGGTCGCTGGGAGAGGGCCCGATCGCGTTGGGGGGGGGCGAGACCTTCAACGTCCGGGAACTATTCCGGCAACAGTCGCTCCGTACGCAATGGCTCGCCGAACAGTTGACGGACTTGCACGAGACTGTGGGGTACTGGAACCTGCACGAGGCGAACGTGAACCCGCCTGGGGGGGCGACCGACCCGGCACGCACGCTCAAATCGGACGTGGTTTCGGAACTGGAGGCGGTCTCCAGGATGGCCAAATGGAACTGGGCGTGCGCGACGGGCCGTGCGGTCATCAGCCTTCAGCATGACGGTGTCGTGATAGTCCCGCTGCCGAGAGACCATGGCAATGAGGAGGAGCTGCGCCGGGACCTGCAGAGAGTCAGCTCATACATCAGGAGCGCGAAAGCAAAGGCCCGCGCCGTTGCCATCGGCGCCACCTCCTCCCAGGCGTTCGAGCCGCGTCGTACCGCTCCACCGAGCTGAGGAGGCCGTCGTCGTCGTTGCTGCCGCTCACAGCGTACAGCTTGCCGTCGAGCACCGCCACGGCGTGATGGCACCGAGCCGTCGCCAGCGGCGCCACAACCTCCCATGCATTCGTAGCCAAGTCGTACCGCTCCACCAGGTTGGAAGGTGCGAAGTTTATGTCGCCGCCCGCCGCATACAACTTGCCATCCAGCACCGCCATGCCAGGGTGCCGCGACTCCGCCATCGGCGCCACCACCTCCCGCGCATTCGTCGCCGCGTCGTACCGCTCCGCCGAGCTGAGGTAGCCGTCGTCGTCGTCGTAGCCTCCCACAGCATACAGCTTGGCGTCGAGCACCGCCACGGCGTGAGAATCCCGCACCGCCGCCGTTGGCGCCACCGCCTCCCACGCATTGGTAGTCAGGTCGTACCGCTCCACCAGGTTGGAAGGTGTGCCGTCAGCCTCACTCTCGCCGCCCGCCGCGTAGAGCTTGCCATCGAGCACCGCCATGCTGACATACTTTCGTGCAGACGGCATCGGTGCCATCGCCTCCTCTTCCCACGCGTTCGTAGAGGGGTCGTACCGCTCCATCGAGCTGACGAACTCGCCACAGTTGTCATCGCCGCCGACCACGACCATGCGCGGCCTCTCGCGCTTCGCCATCGTCTCCTACGAACGCTATCCATCCTCACCGGCCCCCATCCCCGTGGTCGGCCTCGCTCGCCGCGCCAAGCCGCGGCCCGGTCCACCCGGCGGCCAAGGGCGGGGAGGGGGCCACCCGCGCTCGCGCAGCCTAGCAGCGGCGTGACTCGATAAAAGGAACGGCGCGCCAGTCCCGTGCCCGATCGTAACATTCTTTTGTGAAGGACGGCACCGCTCGCAATTCTGTAACCGCCGCAAGACCGGATTGACGTGGGCGGGCTGCTTCCTCGACCCGCACGCCGCCACCCCTCGCACGGCGCCCATGGGACAGAGCTTGCCGGCGGCGGAGGGGTGGCTCTACAAGCGGCACGAGCATAAGCCTGCCTGGGGAAAGCAGTGGGCCAAGCGATACGTGACCCTCAACGCCAAGCGGGGAACGCTCGCCATCGGGAAAAGTTAGTTGTAAGCCCCGCTGGCCCATCCCAACGCCGAGAGGCAAGAGGTGCACGTGCGAGCATCACGAGCCCGCAGCTGAGTACCACGCTGTCGCTCCGCCTTGCAGACGCGACGGCCGAGCCCAGCACGGCAGTGCCGCTCTGTGACGTGTCTTTGGTCAAGCGGGTGGAGGGGGCGAATGTTGACTGGAGCGACAACGTATTTGAGGTGCAATCTGCAGCAGAGACGTAGAAGGGGCGGAGTGGGAGGGGGCCACCCGCAGGCATCCGGTCTGGCCGCGCTCTGGCCCCTGCTGCCCTGCTCGAGCCCAACGCCCATGGCTGTCAGGTGCGGTGCGGTCCCATCACGCTCCACCTCCGCGCGACGAGCAGCACGGAGTGCGAGCGCTGGGTCGGCGCGATCCGATGCCAGGTGGAGGACTGGAGGTCCGACGAGGGGCTGCGAAGAAAGGCGATCTCGAGCGGCGCACCCGCAGCCATCGCCAGCCAGTACCCGGCGAGACCTTGAGCCTTCGTGAGGGTCTCCAGACTTGGCGGTTGGCGCTGAGGCTGACGGCTTGGCTTTTGTAGGCGGAGATGGAGCGGCAGAGAGCGCTGATGGAGGGGGCCAAGGCGCCTGGCTCGCGGCTCGAGGTATGAGAGTCTGGCGCCGTACGGTTGACCTTACAGAGCCGTGACGCGTGACGCGTGAGCGTGACACCCCCGTGTTGAACCCCGCCGCTCTCCCCGCTCCCCGGCTAAAGTACCGTACGGTGCGCGGCCAGAAAGTGTATCCCGTATCTGCGCTGCCGGGGCAGCCAGCGCTGTGTCTTTTCTTGCTCGCCGCGTAAAGGTAAAGTAATCACCGTAATAAGTGATAGACGACAGACACCCCGTAAGGTAAGGTAAGGTAGATTTCTCCCCACACACACAAAGTGGTGGGGCAAGGGGGGGCGACCCTCGCATCTCCACGCCCGGACACGGGCAGGAGCCCCACGGCATTCAAAGTGCAAGCACTGGCCCGGTGCGGTGCACGTGGGTGAGCAGCCTGCCCCTCCCTCCCGACAAACCAACTCCCGCACACACACAATCGCACTCTGGCCATCGAATGACTCCGAATGACTCACTGTGTGTGCTAAGACAGAATCTCCGCAGACATCCAAAACGGGCCGTGCCGCGTTTGTGGTGTCTTCTCAAGCACTAGCATCCGGACGCCGCACTCGAGCGGGCGGGTCACATCTATGTGGGCCCAGTGTGCGCACTAGGCGCATATGCTAGTGCTATCCTGCCCTATGGGAGGCAGAGGGATGGGGGGAGGGGGGGGCAGAGGTAAGGTGGGGTGAGACTGGGGAGGGCCTCAAAGGTCCTCAGACAGACACGTGACACACGACAATCGACATCTGGTACAACAACGAGAAACCAAAAGCTTCAAGGCACACACAGACACGTGCCCATGCACGTGTCTCGAGTCCGTGTGTTGGCGAGTGCGTGGAGCCGCTGGTTCGGCCTGGGGTGCGATGCATTGCCTTGGTCACTACGCCAAAGTGCGGAGGACGGCGGGTGTGCGACTGCAGCCGACTATAAATACTCGCGAGAGAGAGAACTGTACGCGTGTACGGGTACGAGCCCCACACGGCTGTTTAGCTATGCGACGACCCGACCCAACAGGTGGTGTTGAACGGCAGATCCACCGTCTTGTGGAACTCCTCCCAGTCCACCTGCGGCACCCCCTCGTCGGTGATGGACATGGTGGGGGCGAAGCCAGCGTCGAAGCGGAGGTCGGAGCTCATGTACGAGTGGCGCGCCTGATTTCATTCGCCGTTCAATGAGTCGATTCACGAAGCGAGCGGCGCTGGAGGCGCGTCAGCATTTGGTGATTTGAATACATCGTGGTGGTCGGCTCTTGGCCTGGTGCAGGCGCGCCTGGAAGGTGTTTGAGCTCATCGGGTCGATGCCCTCGACCAACACGATCACCTCGAGCTCGCTGTCCTGTGGGGTGGCCGGCCAGATGGGGCGGGCGGGGCGGGGCGGGGCGGGGCGGGGCGGGTGGTGGAGTGAGGCGGGGCGGGGCGGGGTGGCGTGAGGCGGGTCGGGGTGGAGTGGGACGCGGGGGCGGACGGGCTGGTGCGAAGAGGCCTCCCAATGCTGTCGAATCCGCTCGCGCAGCGCGAGGAGAGAAGGCTCCGGCATCAGCTTGCCGTGCCGAGGCGTACCCGTCTCGGGACGCGGCGGAAGTGGCGGGGGCAGTGGCGACGGCAGTGGCGGCGGCAGTGGCGGCGGCAGAGGCGGCGGCAGAGGCGGCGGCGGCGGCAGCGGCGGCAGCGGCGGCGGCGGCGGCGGCGGCGGCCCCCGCGTCGGCGTATCCGGCGGCGGGGGATCAGGCAGAGGATCAGGTGGAGGCGCGGTCGAGGACGCGGCCGCGCCTGCGGCAAGCCCACAGGTCGGACCCCCTCTCCACGCCAGAGCGACTAGCGAACAGGAGGCGCGGCCTAGGCCTGCGCCTGCCGCGGCGTGGCGCGCCTCTGCTGCCGCGGGCGCGTGCTCGCACCGCGCTGCGAGCTCCGCCTGCTGGCGCCGGTCTCGGAGCGCCGCGTCGATCGTGTCCTCTGCGTCCACGTCGTCCTCGCGCATCACCAGCCCGGGGAAGGTGGGACGGAGCGGGGCTGGCGGGACGCGGCTGAGGGGCAGCGTGGGCTCGAGCGGCCTCGCGCGGAAGCATGCGGGCGGGAACAGGGGAGACCAGCGGTCGATCCGGTGCGAGACGAGCTGTGGAGTGGCGAGGAAGAGCATCCCTCCGATCTCGTCGTTCGGGTTCGTCAGCCGCAGGACGCGAGTCTGGAAGAGGGCGGCCTCGCGCCTAGAGGTGGAGACATGGGGAGATTTGGGGAGATTTGGGGAGATTTGGGGAGAAGGAGTCTGGAAGAGGGCGGCCTCGCGCCTCGGAGAGACGGGGCCCCGCGCTAGGCCGCGAGTACTCTCGGAGGACGGGCGGAAGAATTGCGCGAGGGAGAGCGAGGAGAGGATCTTCGGAGAAGTGACGCCGGCGACGGAATCTCGTGTCGTGCGACGCGGCTCGTGCTGCACCTATGTTCATCAACTCGTTCGTCCATTGAGTATTGCGATGGATTAAAGCGCGGCTCGTGCTGCACACCCGCTCATGCAGGACGGCGTACGCGCGCACGTGCGCCTCCACGATCGGGTGGTACTGGAGGAAGGACGCCTCCCCCACCTGGAAGGAGAAGTAGAAGCGGCCGCGCACGCACCGGATGGTTGCCTTGTCCGAAAAGAGAACCTGTGCGGCTCGCGTGCTGGCGCGGCCGACGCGCGCAAAGATGATGCCGAGCAGTGTTGCGTTGAGAAGGATGAAGGTGAGCGCTTGGCTGTAGACGGCGACGGTGAGGACCATGCAGTTGTCGAAGAAGGCGGTGGAGTCAAAGGGGACACCGTACCCGATCGTCGAGAAGGTCTCGACGGAGAAGGCGATGGCGGTCTGCCACGAGAGGTCCTGGCCGGGCGGCGCGAGGCCGCAGTCCTCGCCCCGCCGGTCAATCGCCATGTAGAGGAGGCCGAAGAGGAGGACGAGGAGAGTGTACATGGCGACGGTCAGCGCGAGCAGGCCGCCGAGGCTCCACTCGATCAGCACGTGGAACCAGTCGAGCATCGCGATCTGGCGCAGCTCGGTCAGCTTCCAGCCGGACCGGTGCATGTGGATCTTGTCGCCCGACTGGTGGAACGGATAGTCGCGCCGCACGAGCCTGCGCGGGACAGCGTCCACGGGCCAGAGAGTCTGCACGAAGGGACCATGGTCAGAGACGCTTGCATCTCTGACCATGAAGGTGGCTGCACTGGGAGGCTGCAGAATGGGGACCCGTTGCCAATAGCCCATCTCTTTACCATGCAGGTGGCTGTGCACGGGAATTTGCAGAATGGGGGCCATCGCCAATAGCCCATCTCTGTACCGTGCAGGTGGCTGGTATGCGAATCACAAGCAGCGCACCGGTGCCTCAGGCGGCGGCGCTCCTGCAGCTCCATGTCGTCAGCGCCGGGCCTCGGCGCAGGATCGGGATCGAAGAACTCGAGTGAGGCGGGCTCGCCGAGAGATGCCATATCTGAGGAGCTGGAGCTGTCTCGGGCCAAGGCTTCGGTCGCAGAGATGAGTGTTTCCTGAGCGACCCTCGCCGCCTCGGCCGCCACCTCGGCAGCCGCCTGAGCTGCAGTGGCAGCAGCCGCCGCTCTCTCGATCGCCTGATGTTGCTCTGCGGAGTAGCGCTGCTCGGCAGAGTGCCGCGCATCCGATGACACGCGCGACGTGCGGACCGAGAGGCCACCGAGAAGGGGCGCCCGGAGTGAGCTTTCTCTGATCGGAGGCATTGCACAGCGTCGTGGTGAGCGGCCGATTTTTACAAAAAAGTCTCTCCCACCAGACGTTTCACGGCTTCTAATAGAAGCCGTCGTCCTCACAGAAGCCGTCGTCGGATTCGCAGTCAGAGAAAACACACAACGCAACCACCCCCTGGTTAAAACCGATATAATTCTTTTCTTACAAACAAAACTCTCTCTCACAAAACCCTCGGCACGAATTTTAGAACAGAACGCTCTCCTAAGCCACCTAGGCATGCACACACACGACGCCTTGTCGCCGCGCGTCGCCGATCCGAGGGCAGCGGCAAGCCATGTGATCCACACCGAGAGTGAGGTAGGTAGGTAGGTAGATTTCTCCACACACACAAAGTGGTGGGGCAAGGGGGGGCGACCCTCGCATCTCCACGCCCGGACACGGGCAGGAGCCCCACGGCATTCAAAGTGCAAGCACTGGCCCGGTGCACGTGGGTGAGCAGCCTGCCCCTCCCTACCGACAAACCAACTCCCGCACACACACAATCGCACTCTGGCCATCGAATGACTCCGAATGACTCACTGTGTGTGCTAAGACAGAATCTCCGCAGACAGCCAAAACGGGCCGTGCCGCGTTTGTGGTGTCTTCTCAAGCACTAGCATCCGGGCGCCGCACTCGAGTGGGCGGGTCACATCTATGTGGGCCCAGTGTGCGCACTAGGCGCATATGCTAGTGCTATCCTGCCCTATGGGAGGCAGAGGAATGGGGGGAGGGGGGGGCAGAGGTAAGGTGGGGTGAGACTGGGGAGGGCCTCAAAGGTCCTCCATGGGGGTGGGGTCCGGCCCGAACAGGTCGAAGCCGGTCCCGCCATCGCCGCCGACGCCGTCGCCCCCTCGTCCGCCTCGGAGGCGGAGGTCGTCGAGCGGGGCGTCTCGCCCGTCGCGAACCTGCCGCCGAACACGGCGTCGGCCGGCGCCGAGGCGCCGGCAGCCGTGATCAGGTCGGCGACCTTTCGGTCCCTGCAGGCCGCATCAATTTTGCCGCCCCGGGACGGCTCGTAGAGCTCGTTGGCGAGCCAGTCCCGGGTGACCTTGGTCGCCACGGAGCCCAGAGGGACCGTGGCGTACACCAGGTCGCCGACCCCGCTGCCCCCCTCGGGAGGCAGCGAGTAGGCGACCTGAATATTGGACCCCGCTGGGTTGCGCGCCGCCTGCGTCGCAGCCTCCAGGCCGTCCATGACGAACTCGACGTTCTCGCGCAGCTGCGCGTGCGGGTAGTCCGCACGCTCAGCCTCGCTCGCAGCCGCCGCCGCAGCCTTCTCCGCCTTGTTCGCCTTCTGCCGGGCCTTTTTGGCCCTGCGAGCCGCGGCCCGAGCATCCTTTTGCTCCTCCGTCAGCTCCTCCTTCCGCGGCGCGGTGCGCTCGACGAACGAGCGCTCCGCCGCCTGCACCGGCTCGCGGTCGCCCGCGGCCTTCTCGTGCTTCAGGTCGAAGGTCGCCGTCCCGTAGCCAGGGACCTCATACCTGAGCTGCGACACACCTGCAAGCCTTGCGGCAATGAGGCAGTCTTGCATGTGCGCGCGATCGCTGCTATTCCAGGGCCGTCCGCGGCGCATCCCCGGCGGCCCGACGGTGGCCGGCGCTTGCGCGCCAGCCCCGTCCGCCGCCGGATCCGCGGCCGCGGTCCCTGTCATAGCTACGCGCGCCATGGGGCGACGTGCCCGCCGTTACCGAGAGTGAGACTTGTCCGTCCGGGATCTCGCGCCCAAAACGCAACTCGACAAGTTGTACAAAAATTATGGACCCCCTCCCCACTGTGGACTGCGCGCTCAACTAGTGTACCACCCCCACAGCACAGCGCCACATCCCAAACGTACGTGAGAGCAACGCGGTAAGCCGGAAGCCGTTTTCATGACCTCGTCTAATATCCTCTGCGCCGCTTCTCGGGCGGGGGACTGCGCGGCGGCGGCGGCGCGCCGAGCCTTCTCCTCAGGCGGGAGAGGAGACGAGGCGCGCCGGAGGCTCCGGGGTCGCCGCGGCGGACTTGCCACGGGTCGATGGGACAGCGGTTTCGTTGCACTGGCGCATCAGCCAGGCGGTGTAGAGCAGCTTCCAGCCGACCGCGATGGCGAGGCTGATCAGGGCCTCTTGCGTGGTGTTGACGTCCACGTCGATCATTTCGTACGTCTCCCCGAGGGAGACGAGGACCTGGGGCCCGGTGAGCCCGAGGCACTGCTGCGGCTGGAGGTCGGGACAGCGGAAGGGCGGGCCGTTTGCGCCGAGGACGTCAAAGCAGCCGGCCTCGGTCAGATTGGAGCACGCCTCGGCGCCCCCGATGCTCTCATAGTCGATGAACTCAAAGTAGTTGAGGGAGGGAAACGCCCACGCGAGGGGGAGGAGGTAGGTGAAGGCGCGGAAGGGCCAGATCACGTCCGTCTTGCGGAGGAAGATGCCGCAGAAGAGGAAGGACGCGAACCAGGTGTTGAGGAAACCGAGCATGCCAAGCAGAGGGTTGCGGAGCAGCGAGCAGAGCTGGGCGATGCACTCAAAGGCCCACAGCATCAGCGCGTAAACGAGCGTAAACTGCACGAAGTTGGACGCGTTGAAGTCGGCGATGGCGTAGGCGGGCACTCCGGTGGCCGAGATGGCGAGGAAGACCATCATCGGCAGCTGCAGCGAGGTGTGTGCGAGCACGTACGCGACCGGGTGGTACATGCCGTCGCGCACCTCGCGCCGCACGGCTTGCACCTCGCCGTTGAGCGCGAAGGTGCTCACGACGCCGAGCGCGGCTGGCACGCCGACGAGCCACATGGTGAGGAACCTAAGAGGGGAGTGCTTACGTGTGGGGTACACCTTCCACGTGTGTGTATGGCGACGGTGAAGCAGGCATTACATGCGGGAGACAATCTGCTCCTGCTTGACGTCGCGCGCGCGGATGTAGACGACGGCGAAGAAGCTGTTGGCGAGGAGAAACGCGACCGCCCGCCCGAGGTAGAGGGTCGGGTCCTTGTACGTGAGCTTGCAGAGCTTGCGCAGCAAGCACCAGGTCTGCCTCGGGAAGGGCGCCTGATTCGTCTTCGGCAGCGGGGAGAAGGCGTGCGTGGCCGCCGGCCCGGCCGGCGCGGGCCGAAACGCATCGAGGACGAGGCCGACCGCCTCGGGGCTGCGGAAGTCCTTGTTGACCAGCTCGAGCATGTGCTCCGCCGGGCTGTTGCCTGGCGGCACGGGCTCGCCCAGCGAGTCGCAGTACTCGCCGAGCGCCGCTGCCGGGCCGTAGTACGCGGGGCGGCCAGAGGCCAGGATGAGCGTGTCGTCGAAGCCCGAGAAGACCTTGTAGGAGGGCTGGTGGATGGTGCAGAGGATGGCGGTGCGCTTGACCGAGGCGGACTCCTTCAGGAAAGTCATGATTGAGGCGGCGGCGGCAGCGTCCAGCCCCGAGGTCGGCTCGTCGAGGAAGATGAGCGCAGGGTTCTTCGAGAGCGCGACAGCCAGCGAGAGGCGCCGCTTCTGACCGCCCGAGAGCCCGCGCACGAGCTCGTTGCCGGCGCGCGTGTGCTGGCACGATGTGAGGCCCATGTGCTCGAGCAGCTCGTCGACCGCGGCGGCCCGCTCGGCCGGGCCGAGTTGGTGCTGGTAGAGCGAGGTGGAGATGGCAAGGTGCTCGCGCGCCGTTAGGAACGCGGCATGCGAGTCGTGCTGCGCGACGAAGGCGCAGTGCTTTTTGTAGAGGGCGGGCGTGAAGGGCTGGCCGTCAAGACGGAGCGAGCCGTGCGCCTTCCCAGGGCCCGCCTCGAGGGTGAGCATCTTCATGAGCACCGTCTTGCCAGCACCTGCGGTCGTTCGGGCGGGCTGACCGGAGGCGTGGCAGCGGGATATGGCAGCGGGATCGGGCAGCGGTGCCGCACCGCTGGGGCCCATGATGGACAAAATAAAGCCCGACTTGACGCTGGCGGATATGCCACCAATGAGCGTCTTAGCCTTCTCGCCCTTACCCACGGTGTACATGCAGTCGGTGAAGGTGAACTCGTGCGACTCGCACGCCTTCTGGGCCCGGGTCCCAGATGCAGTCGACATAAAGCGAGCTCGGTTCCCTGCGGCGGCGCACCTGCGGCGGCGCAGGCTCTTGAATCGCGCTGCAAAGCCGCCTCGATTCGCACGGCTCCTCAAAGGAATTTTCCTTCATTTCCAATGAGTGACACGCTCTGCCCAAGTTTTCTTCTTTTGAAGTGAACTATTTTTCTTTCGGGTCCTGTGCGCACCCTAGCAGGGTCTCTGTGCAGCTGGTAAGGCGGTTCAAGAGAAGCGTCGTACATCCAGACCCCACAGCGGAGAGAGATTTTTAGAAGCCAACAAGAAATGACAAAACAAACACAAGTACTCGCTTTCTTTTATGTCCCACCATGCAGAGCGCATCTCTCTCTCTGTTGTGCGAGGCGTGAACCGCGCCATTCGCTCTCACCTGGCAACCCTGTCTGCACGTCTCGCGCGCGCGTGAACAGGGCTCCAGGCCCCAAATGACGTGTGAGTGTTAGAGTTGTTTGGTATTGCTAAAAATCTCTCTCAAGAAATGTGGCACACACAGCAAACAAAAACAAACAAACGCGTGAGTGTTAGATTTGTTTGGTATTGCTCAATAATCTCTCTCTCACACACAGTGATTTGGGCTCGGCAGCTTGTCGACTACATGTACCAGCCGAAGCCGGAGTCGGAACCGTAGCCGAGATGGTCGTCGAGGGTGTCGAATATGTCATTCGCCTCGCTAGTGGAGAGAGAGAGAGAGAGAGAGAGAGAGAGAGAGAGAGAGAGAGAGAGAGATTTTTAGCAATACCAAACAACTCTAACACTCACACACGTAATTTGGGGCCTGGAGCCCCTGCACAATGATGTTTATGGAGGTTTAAAGTTTGCGGGGGGGGGGGGGGGGGGACAGCTTTGGGCGGTCGACTTCAATTTTGGGGGGTTTACGACGGTTTTGGGGATCCTGCCGACGCGCTACAGTGTTAGCCCCACTGCACATAAATAAGATGGACACCTCAACGGGAGGGCCCTCGCAGCAGCCGGGGCCGACGCCTGCAGCCTTAGTCTTGGCCCGATCCGGCGGTATGCCACGGGTAGGCGCGTTGAGGCTTGCCGCCTCCTCGGCGCCAACGCGGCCTGTGCCGCAGCGTGCGATTGCTGCCAGACAAGAGGAGGAGCAGAGCCGCTTGGCGATAGGGCCAGGCAATCGCATTCGCCCCGTGGGCGTTGCGGACTCGAGCCCTGTTCACGCGCGCGCGAGACGTGCAGACAGGGTTGCCAGGTGAGAGCGAATGGCGCGGTTCACGCCTCGCACAACAGAGAGAGAGATGCGCTCTGCATGGTGGGACATAAAAGAGAGCGAGTACTTGGGCGAGTAGGCCGTGCGGTTGTTTTGTTTGTCGCATGAGTCGCGGTCGAAGGACTTCTTCTTCTTCACAGCGGTAGAGCGAGCCCTCCATCGGCAAAGTTAATCTTTGAATAGTAAGGAAGAAGGGGGGGGGGGGGATGGAGGGCCCTCCGGAAGGGGGTAATCTCACAAAAAAGAAAAAACTGCAGCGCCGGCTCCTCGGGGTCCCCTCCCGCGCCTCGTGGGCGCCATGGCGCACGCGGCGGTGTACGAGGAGGTGCCCTTCAGCGAGCTCGAGCTCGTTGAGGACGACGACATGTACTACTACGAGTGCCCCTGCGGAGACATGTTTGAGATCTCTCCGGCGCGCTCTCGTCGCTGCGCGTCGCCGCTCTCATCGCGGCGGGCTAACCTCCTGCCCTCTTGCTCACAGGCGCAGCTTGCCGGCGGGGAGCGCATTGCCCGCTGTCCGAGCTGCTCGCTCACCATACTCATCATTGACTACCCGGGCGAAAGCGGCGCTGATGGAGGGATGCCGCAGCTGCCGCCGGCTGTGCCCGTGAGCAGATGAGGCTAGCCATGCGTGAGTCTGAGCGGAGCGAGCGGGCCCGCTGTGCGCCGTACTGCTAGTGCTGGCTAATTTCGTACGTACAGACGTCCCAATTTACACACCGCCCCTCTTCGACTTCCAGCCGCTCCACGCGCGCTCCTCGAGCGCGTCGAGGCTCGAGAGCGCAGGTCGAGCGTCGAGGCGTGCGGGTGCGCGCTCTCCCCGCGCTCTTCTGTTTAAGAGGCTGTTGCCCACAGCGGGGAGCGTCACTGCGCGCGGTCTCTAGCCGTGTCTCTCACTTCCTTGGCTCTGACACGGCCGCTCTGATGCGACTAGGTCCAGCCCTGGGTGGCGCAGGTTGTGACATTTGGCGATTCCGCGACTTACTGGGCCCCTGAGCCGCTACCCGTGTGCGATTTTTTGTGGCCCGGACATGATACTGATAGTAAACGGGTCAGAACCGGCCAAACACAGGCTACAGCCCCACACACGCGCCCGCCATAGCTCCTGGAGAGCATGCGCGAGTGACGCGCTGCAAGCCGCGAGAGTGGCATCAGAGGCAGGAACGACGTGCTCTTGCTGCACCTCGCAGCTGCACCAAGTGTGCTCGCAGTGTATGCCACGGCCACTGCCTGCGGCATTGCTCTCGTGCAGCTAGGCGATGCAGGTCCATCAGCAGGGCTCATCCAATGCGAGCGCACATTGTGCGTAGCCGCGGGCAGGTGGCAGTGCACAGCACACCGGCTGTGGCGGCTCGAATGCCCCCGGCAGTGCTGCTAGTCATCAACTTGCGTATTAGGGCCGCAGCAGACTGCTGCTGTGGCAGCAGCAGCAGCCTGCTGCTGCCTGATTCAGTCAAGCCAGCGGTGCAGCGAGGCGTGCAGAATTCGCGCGGTTTTGTCCCTCCTGAGGCTGAGCGCATTCGAGCCCGTCGACCGGAGTTGGATGGTACCACGCGTCTCACTGAGACGCGGGGTACTGGCCATGGCCGGGCTGCGGAGCGTGAGGTGGCGAGCGGAGCGAGCGACAAAACAACGAGAAAAACACGGATCTGAGGATTGTCACAAAACCTCAGATCTTGCGCCACCCAGGGCTGGTCCTAGTCATGCGCGCTCCCGCTTTCTTATACTTCCCCATGCGCATGCCGAGAGCGACACCGACGGGGACACCGAGCACCGGCGGCCGGTCACGCGTCGGTCCAAGAGAGATTCGCGCGCGCGAGCGCGGGCGGCACGGCCAGAGCCCGAGCCGTGCGCACAGACGCTAGTCGTGGTCCGGCTGGCGGACGGCGGCGGCGGCGGCGATGGCGAAGCCGGGGAGCGGGACGGCGGCGGCGAGCGAGGGCGCGCTCTGCGTGGGCGGCGGGTGGCGGGTGAAGGTGTAGAGGGTGTAGGTGCGAGTGGCTAACTCGGGGAAGAGGTTGCGGAAGTCCTCGTTGGCGACGCCTGTTCACAGCGTGCGGCTGTTCAAGGTATGCGGCTGTTCACGAAGCGGCTCTGCGGGGCGCTGGGTTCGGGAGGGGTCAGAGGGGCAGGGGTGGAGAGGAGGGGGAGAGGAGGGGCGAGGGCGGGTGGGGGGGGGGTCGAGGCCCGAGGCGGTGCGCTGGGGGCAAGTGCAGGAGAGAAGGACGCGGTGCGAGGGCGAGGTGTGCACCGTCGAGGACGTTGTCCATGAAGCGAGGGGGCGCGGCCTCCTCCGTGCGGTACCAGCCCAGGCCGACTAGCCCGTCCAGGAACTCCACCTCTCCCAGCCGGTCCGTCTCCGGCGCGACGTAGTAAAAGGCGCCTCCCCCCCCCTCCGGCAGCAGCGCAGGCAGCAGCGCGAGCAGCTGCGGCACCGCCTCCCGCGCGTAGACGAGGTCTGACCCGAGGACGATGTCTGCACCGCTCGGCCAGGTCGCAGCGTCCCCCCAGTCCACCACCGCTGCGGTCATGCGCCCCCCAGCCGCCGCACTCGCCTCCACGACCGCCCGCGCCGCCACCGAACCACCCGCCCCGCCCCCCGCCCCCCCCGCCGCCGCCGCAGCTCCCCCCGCCACCGCTGTGGCGTCCGCCGCTCCCTCGCCCCGCGTTGCGCCGGTGCCGCCGCTGCGGTTGAGGTCGATGTTGTGCTCGATGTTGCGCATGGTGTGGTCGGCGAGGTCGGTGATGGTCGTCGTGGCGGCGCCTGATGGGTGAGAACCCCACCCATCAGTCATCAGGAGGGAGAAGCAGGTCGCTGATGGCCGTCGCGGCGGCGCCGGCGGCGGCGGCGGCGAGGCCGGGCAGTCCACAGCCCGCACCGAGCTCGAGTACTCGCCTGTCCCGCAGGAGATAGGGGGAGATAGGGGGAGATAGGGGGAGATATGGGGAGATATGGGGATAGCCGAGCTCGAGTACTCGCCTGCCCCGCAGGCGTGGTCGCAGCTCGCAGACCCAGCGAGCCAGCAGCAGCGAGGCGGACCTGCGGGGCGGGCGGTGTGAGGCAGAGGCACGGTGTGAGGAAGAGTCACGGCGTGAAGAAGCAATACCCGCGGGAACAGCAATGGCGAGCAGCAGCCCGCTCGGCTATCTCTCGGCTATCTCTCGGCTCCCTCTCGGCTCCCTCTCGCCAGATCTGCAGCCCGGTGCGGTCGTCGTTTGGCGTCGCGCCAATCACAGCCGACGGGTCGTCGCCGCCGATGGAGGAGAGCTCGCGGCAGCGCAGCCGGACCTGCTTCACGGCCGGAGGTGTGAAGAGACGCCGGCGGAGGGCGGCGCTTGCAGCCGTCCGCGCCATCGGGTCGCCGCTGCCGCAGGCGGGCAGGAGGAAGGAGTGAGTGAGCTCGCCTATAGCACAGTGAGAACACGCGATGACGATGGGAACGAGAGGAGCGGGAGGAAGGAAGGGGGGGGGAGCTCGCTAGTCAGCGCGTCCGGCGTCGCGGCGTTCGCCTCGGGGTCGAGCGCCGCCGCAGAGTCATGCGCAAGCACCTGCAGGGAGGCTCAAAAGAAGGCTGCGAGAAGGGTGTCAGGCAAGGCTCCTGCAGGGAGGCGGCGCGTCGAGCACCTACCGGAAGGGTCGGAGAAGGTGCAGAGAAGGGCTCCTCTGGTCCCGGAGAGGCGCAGAGGCGAGGCGCGCCGCGTCGACGATCTCGGGCACGTTGCGAGCGAACGCCTCTGTCGAGACCGACTTTCCAAACGCGTTGCGGGCGAGGACGTCGGCGCCAGGGAACGCCTGCAGCCGCCACCGGGGTGAGTTTATTCTAAGGCTGCAGTTCGGGCTAGGGGCCAGGGGCCAGGGACCCGCCTGCAGCACCGCCGCCACCAGCGGCGCCGAGGCGTGCTGGACCGCCCAGTGAAGCGGCGAGTTGCCAGACTCGTTGGCGAGCAGCGCAGCGCCCGCCGCCGCCAGTTGCTGCACCACGGCGACGTGCCCGTTGGCGCAGGCGCGGTGCAGCGCGGTGTTGCCTAGGGTTGGTGATAGGTACGGCTCGGGCGCGGGTTCGGGTTCGGGATAGGGGTGGAGGGTGCGGAGCGGCGCTGCCTCCACCGTCGAGGTGGTTCACGTCCGCCTTTGCTGCGAGCAGCTCGCCGACCTCGCGCTCCTCGCCGTACCGCGCGGCCTCGAGCAGCTCGGCGCCTGCGCGGGGAGCGAGGTCGAGTGTCCTCCTCGCCCTCCCTCAGAGCCCGGCTCCGGGACTCGCTCGCTCTCTCTGTGCACCGAGCTGCGTCGCCGTCATCTGCGGAAGCGCTGCGAGCCACGCCGCGTGCTCCGCTTCGTCGTCCGTCGCTCCGCCCTCCTCCTCGGCGGCCAGCGGCGCCGCCTTGACCAGGTTGGCTGGCCGGACCGCGAGAGGCGGCCCGCCATCGACGAGCCGCACAGAGATGCGACCGCGCTCTGCATCGTAGCCGACGGCGACGCCGCGTGCGCCGTTGAGGTGGGCCTTGGAGAGGTTGGTCAGCTGCACCTCGTCGCCGGCCTGGAACGGAGCGTCCGATGGCCACATGGTGGGGCCGCTCACAGCGACAGGAGGCGGGAGGAGGCGGCCGCCGCGTGGACAGGCGCCGGATTTGTCGGCTGTTGGTCGTAGGGTGTCGCGGGCGATGTCGGTTTGTGCTTTTGTGTGGAACAGTCTACATCAAGACAGCTACGGGAGAGTCCCGCGCCGCCGCCAGTGGCGCCACAGCCTCCCACGCATTCTCGGCCGGGTCGTGCCGCTCCGCCGAGCTGAGGGTCCGCCGGCGTTGCAGCCGCCAACAGCGTAAAGCTTGCCATTGAGCACCGCCACGCTGTGAGAGTCCCGTGCTGTCGCCATCGGCGCCACCGCCTCCCACGCGTTCGTCACGGGATCGTACCGCTCCACCGAGCTGAGGCGGGTGTGGTCGGCATCCCTCCCGCCCACGGCATACAGCTTGCCATCGAGCACCGCCACGGCGTGTGTCTGCCGCGCCGTCCCCATAGGCGCCACCGCCTCCCACGCGTTCGTCGCAGGATCGTACCGCTCGACCGAGCTGAGGACGCCGCCGTCGTCGCTGTACCCGCCAACAGCGTACAGCTTGCCGTCGAGCACCGCCACGCCATGCTCGCTCCGTTCCTCCCCCATAGGCGCCACCTCCTCCCACGCATTGGCAGCCGGATCGTACCGCTCGACCGAGCTGAGGAATTGGTCGTCGTCGTCGTAGCCGCCCACAGCGTACAGCTTGCCGTCGAGCACCGCCACGGCGTGATTCTCGTGTGGTGTCACCATCGGCGCCACCTCCTCCCACGATTTCGTCGCCGGGTCGTACCGCTCCAAAAGGTTGGAAGTTGCGCCGTCAGCCTCACTATGGCCGCCCGCCGCGTAGAGCTTGCCATCGAGCACCGCCATGCCGGCATACTTTCGTGCCGAAGGCATTGACGCCACAGCCTCCCCCTCCCACTCATTCGTTGACGGGTCGTACCGCTCCAGCGAGTTTAGGCGCTCGCCACCGCTGTCGTGGCCGCCGATCACGACCAGGCGCGGCCTCTCGCGCTTCTTCAGCGTCTCCTTCCAGCCGCGGCGCCACGCGCGGCACGCCCCCTTGACGGCGTGCTCCTTGGTCGGCAGCTGGGCGAGGATGTGCGGGGCGAGGTCCGGCGAGAGGAGGACCTCGGAGAGCACCCACTCGGGCTGCTCCACGAGCCGTGCGGCGTGCTCCTCCGCCACGCGCAGCGCGGCGTCGCTCCAGAGAGGCGCCTGCTCCTCGATGAAGGCGAGGAGTTGCTCTGGCGAAGCTCCCGCGAGGCGGGCGCCGATGCGGTGGGCGGCCATGTGGACTCAGCGAGAGCGGGCAGGCGCGAGACTTCGGCAGCGGGAGGCCAAAAAGAATTTACGATCACATGTACAACATGTACACTAGTGTGGGACCTGCGGCGGTACCCGCGTCTGTTGTTCGGGCAGTGAGAGAGACGCAGGATCTGCACGCCAAAGTGGGCCACTCCGCATTTGCTTTTGGTTTTGGGTGGGTTGTCTCGGAGATCATCCATCAGCACTCATGTCTCATCAGTCAGTCACGTCAGTCAACGCCACACGCTCCGGACGACCCCGACAACCGACACACCACGCAGAAGGGGGGCTATCGCGCACGATCGGGCATCGCGCCGCAAACAACTCGCCGCACAGATGGGGGGGAGGCAGAATCCCACACACACCGGAGCAGCACAGACACCTTACACGTCAGCGCTCGCTCGATGTGGCCGGCGCTCTCCCCTCGGTCCTACCGCCTTTTCAACGGCCGCGTGCGGCCACGCGCCGCGCCGAGCCGGTCTCGGCGGGAGACCTCGGAGCCACACGCGATGCGGGCATGCGCGATGGCTCCGTTGGCTCCGTGCCTAAGGCAGATCGATTAGGGTGTGAGCTGCGGAAGCCACCGTTTCTGTACCCGCTCGATCACGTGCAGGCCGTCGGAGGCCGCGCTGGATGGCCCAGGGCCGGCGGCGGTGAAGGCGTCCGTCGATGAAGGGATGTCGTCGAGGGAGCCATCGTCCTCCGTGGCTGGTGCACCGGTCCAGTTGTCGGAGTTCGAGATCGCCGTCGAATTGGAGACGTTCGGCCCGTTGACGAACTCACGGAATGTGAGCGACTTGGTGCACGCTGATAGTCGAGCATCATGGCTCGCACCTCATCCTGGGCAAGGAACTCGCCCAGGGACCAGCTGTTGGCGTCGCCGTTTTGATCGAGCTGCATCCACTGCATGGTTTCGTAGCCAAGCGTAAACGACCAGGAGTTGGTGCCTGGGTGACTTGCTGATGAGAGCGCCTTCCAGGCGGGTAGTCGTGCCCCTCACCTAAGGTCATACGGCGGTGTCAGAGGGGGGGAGGGGCGCGAAGCGTGAACATGGAGGCAAGCAGGTGACGGGCCACCTGGCCAAAGCCGGCGACCTCAAAGATGTCGTAGCTTGTGCGGATATCGCTGAGCGTGAGAGGGACCGGATCGGCAGCAGCACGGGAGGGGTCAGCGGCCGGAGAGGCCGGAGAGCCATCCGACGGAGGCCGGTCGTGCATCGGCGCGTCGGCCGTAGGGGCCGTAGGGGCGGCATCCGTCGCTGCGGGAGAGAGTTGTTGTTTTGTTCGCTGCGGGTCGCTGCGGGCCGACGATTGTGGACTGATCGATCGATCGACGGGCGGTCAGCTGGGACGTTCTACGGTTAAACCAAGAGCGTCGGCGCCGACACGAGAGACTTATAAGGGTAGATGTTGTTGTGCCAAAAAGAATTTTACAAGCGCCATCGCACAACACTGGGCACCGCGAGGTGGCACGAAAGTTGCAGCGAGAATCGGAGAGAGACTGCGAAGAGAGATAGGAAGAGGCGGACGCCCAAGGGTGGGCGACGGCTAGCGCACCACACCCCTCTCCTTAAAATCCCTGTGTGGTGGCGGCGTGCCGTTCTCCCATCCCTCCCTTGGGTTGTGTGTTTTCTTTCTTTCTTTCTTTCTGGGCACGGGAAGGGTGAGGTGGCCATGGAAGAGGTGGTGAGAGGTCGCGTCGTGAAAGTGGAGATGGAGGACGCGGCAAGCGGACTGGAGTGGACACAGATAGGAGTCTACATGCCAGTGAGGGGACGGGCTAAGATAACGGTGGCGGCGAAAGAGGAAGGGACGACACAGAAACAAAGGACCCAGCGCATCCAAGACGCGTGGGAGAGCCTAAGGGACGAGCTAGACAAAATCGACGGGGAGTACATGATCGGTGGAGACTTCAACGCCGAGACGGAGGCCTTCCTACGAAGCAGAGGCAAAAAGGAGCGGACCCTCTCAGACAAGATGTTCAACAGCATGCTGACCGAAGTGGGGCGAGACCTGAGAGCGATGGCGAACGACGCAACGTACCGGGCGGGCACGCAAATTGACAACTGGATAGTCACCCCGGCGCTAGCGAATGTGATGGGGCGCGTACACATCATGCCAGGAGTATGCGGGAAAGACCATGAGATTGTGGCGGTTGAATACTACGGTTGAAGGGGATAAGGGCGGACAGACCGGCGAGGCGGACGAGGAGGGGGAGGACCAAGGGGGGGGCGGGCAGCGGGACACCCAATGACGGGGACGACCCCCCATGTCGCAGAGGGAGAGACTGCGATGGAAGATAGCAAAGTGGAGACGGATCACGCACGCGGTCCGAAAAGGGAGCGGAACGTTGAAAACGGCATACACAAGGAAGTGGGGGGGGAAGGGATTCTGGACACAGGCACTGTACCTACGTACCTACCTACACGCTACACCTATACCTAGAGGGAGTGGACCGTGAGTTGAGGAAATCGAGGGACGCGACCCACTTCGCCACAGACGGTCCCGCGCCTCGCCGCTATGACGGGCACACGCCCCGCACCGTCCGCTGTGTGCCCGTCTTTGTCCGGAGTGAATACTCCAACGCGCTCGTCGGTGGCGGCTTCCCTCAACCTGCGCCGCGCTCGGCGAACCTCGACAGCGCTTTCGGTGGCATGCAGCTCTTTGCGACAGAAGCCCCTGGAGAGCAGCTCCTCTGCTGCTCACACACTCTGCACAGTTGACACAGCCTACTGTGCGGCTGCCACAGCTGTGACAGCGATGGGCTCGCCCTCACTGGCCCTCAGTCACTTGTGCTGCGGCTTGTGTGAGCGACACTGCTCGGCGACTGCCGGCACACTGTGAGACCATGGTGCCGAGGGGTTACGTGGCTGGGTCGACAGCGATTGTAGGAAAACGAAGGGACCAAATCACGGTCGCGGCCTTCCGACTCGCGCCTCCGCCTCACTGGCACTATTGTAGCCCTGGCCGGTGCGCGTGTGGAGTTGAAGTTCCGGAGTAAAAATTCGAACGCGTTCTCTCACGGTGACCAAAAAATGTCCACCTCAGAGGCACCTCCGGAGGCAGGCCGCCGCACGCCGGCGACACAGCTCCAGCTGTCAAGCTGACCCGCAGCTCCTCTCAGAGCGGGAACTGTGACGAAAGTTGACTGAGGCGGTTGTCAGGAATCATCATACGGATCACATGGTGGCTCTCTCATGACGGGAGACGACCGACCACTCCTGGGTGGCACTGCCACCGGTGTCGCTCGACGTCCTGTCGACAGCGTGCCGACAGCGACACAGACCATGTGGGACGCGTCGAGTATCGACCTCTACTGCTTACCCAGCCTTCGGTTGTATCCTGGCTGTGGTCCCACACCCACTGGTGTCCATCTCAGAGACCGCAGGAGGTCATGAGGGTCGATGGGAGTGCCAACCCCACAATGCCTAAATAGTGTGTAAAGACCCAGCCCAGTAAACCACGCTACCAGCGCTTGGTCACATCGGCCCCGAGGTCAGATCCTTCTACTCTGTTGATGACAACACTTGTCTACTCGCTGGAGCCGAGCAGGAGGGCCCGGCGCACAACCCCTGGTCAACTCAGGGTCCACACCCGCCCGTAGTCCCTAGTCCGTAGTCGCTGTGCTCTCTCGTGCGATGTCGGTTTGTGCTTTTGTGTGGAACAGGCTACATCAAGACAGCTCCGGGAGAGACCCGCGCCACCGCCAGCGGCGCCACAGCCTCCCACGCATTCTCGGCCGGGTCGTACCGCTCCACCGAGCTGAGGGCGTTGTAGGCATGATCCTGTCCGCCCACAGCGTACAGCTTGTCGTCGAGCACTGCCACAGCGAGATGGCACCGAGCCGTCGCCATCGGCGCCACCGCCTCCCACGCGTTCGTGGCGGGATCATACCGCTCGACCGAGCTGAGGGCGCCGGCGCCGTAGCCTCCAACAGCGTACAGCTTGCCGTCTAGCACCGCCGCGGCGGGAGCAACCCGCTCGACCGCCATCGGCGCCACCGCCTCCCACGCATTCGTCGCCGGGTCGTACCGCTCGACCGAGCTGAGGTACTCGTCGTCGTTGTAGCCTCCCACAGCGTATAGCTCGCCGTCGAGCACCGCCACACCGAGAGCCTCTCGCGCCGCCGTCATCGGCGCCACCGCCTCCCACGAATTGGCAGCCGGATCGTACCGCTCGACCGAGCTGAGGAAGTCGATGGCGCAGCCTCCCACAACGTACAGCTTGCCATCGAGCGCCGCCACGGTGTGGGTCTCGCGTGCTGTCACCATCGGCGCAGCCTCCTCCCACGCATTCGTCGCCAGGTCGTACCGCTCCACCAGGTTGGAATTTGCGCCGTCAGCCTCACTCTCGCCGCCCACCGCGTAGAGCTTGCCATCGAGCACCGCCATGCCGGCATACTTTCGTGCAGACGGCATTGACGCCACAGCCTCCCCCTCCCACTCATTCGTTGACGGGTCGTACCGCTCCAGCGAGTTGACAAACTCGTAGTCGATGTCTTCGCCGCCGATCACGAGCATGCGCGGCCTCTCGCGCTTCTTCAGCGTCTCCTTCCAGCCGCGGCGCCACGCGCGGCACGTCCCCTTGGCGGCGTGCGCCTTGGTCGGCAGCTGGGCGAGGATGTGCGGGGCGAGGTCCGGCGAGAGGAGGACCTCGGAGAGCACCCACTCGGGCTGCTCCACGAGCCGAGCGGCGTGCTCCTCCGCCACGCGCAGCGCGGCGTCGCTCGCGCCCGCCTGCGCCTCGATGATGGCGCACAGCTGCGAGCGTGAGGGACCCTGCTCCTTGATGATTTTGAGCAGCTGCTCCGATTTGAGGCCCGAGAGGCGGGCGCCGATGCGGTGGGAGGCCACCATCGGGGAGTGTAAGAAAACCCATTTCCCGAGCCTCAGAGAGTGCCACTGCCACCACCGAGGCCGCGGGAGCCGATCGGCTGCGCCGAGGACAGCTCCCTCAGTGTGCTCCGCGGCTCACCAGTGTGCGCCGCGGCGCCCACTTTGGCGGCCAGCCACCGGTCGAGAGTCAAGCCCCGCCCACCCAGGGTACCCCATTGGGCTCTCTCGAGGGCTCGCCGGGGCTCTGCTCCAAGAGACCTCGAGAGTGTGTGCGTGTACCTCTACTCGCCAGCCATCGGGGAAGGGCGTGCTGGACGAAGGATCAAGCCTTCAAGGAAAGAGAATTTTACACCAACACGTCGCACGACACTGATCACTGTGGGGTCTGGGCACTGGGGGCTAAAAGGAAAGAGAATTTCGGGCGCGGTCCGAGTGTGCATGTAAAACAGTTTTCAGAAGTGAATCGACCGCGTCAAGCCCAGCTCCTCCTCGTCTCCCTCCTCGCCTCCGCCCTCGTCGTCGTCGTCGTCCTCGTCGCCTCCGCCGTCGCCGTCGCCGAGCCTGCGCGCGCCCGCGCCGCGCTCCTTGCGCTGCACCACCCCGCCCAAGTCGGCCCCTCCCCGCACGGTCCGCACGGGCAGGCTGCGGCCTGGAGCGCGGGTGCAGTGGAGGCAGAGTGGCTCACCGGAGTGGCACAGCAGAGTGGGGGAGGGAGAGCGAGAGAGTCAGTCAGAGAGGGCTACAGGAGAGGGGGGGGGACAACGCGGAGAAGAGGCGGCAGAGAGGCGAGGCGGCGAGGGGTGGCCGAAGAACGAGCGAGCGGGCAGAGCCGGAGAGGACCCGAGAGTGTGCCCGAGACATGCATGAAAGACCAGTGTGAGGGCGCGCCTCCGGCGGCAGCGGCGACCGCCTCGACCAGCCGCCCGACGGCCTCTGCCGCCCAGCCCGCCGCCCCGTGCAGAGGAGGGGGGGCGCCGGCGGCCTAGAATCCGTGGGGGGCGGGTGAGGGCGTGTGGTGTCCAGAGGGTATGTCCTGGGAGGGTGTGGTCTAGGAGCATTGCAAGAGTGTGGTGAAGTGGTGCTAGTACCGGCAGAGGGGAGGGAGAGGTCTCTAGCGAGGGAATCTCTCGCGAGTGGTGGAGTGGCCCTCTCTGTCGCCTTGCCTGCAGGCCGGCGTGGTGAGGGAGGCCGGCGGAGGCCGCGCCGCCCGGCGCTGCGGTCGGTGCGGTGTGGGCCCCTTGCCGTGTGGCGGCGAGGTGGTAGTCGTACTCGCCTGGTGGGGGTGCAAAGGGCGGCGAGGGGCGGTCGGCGTGCAGGGATGGGGAGTGGAGCGGCGGAGACGGCCTTAATCCTCTCTCTCTCCTCTCAAAGCGCCGCTCACTCGGAACGTGAAGAACAAACTCGCCCGACGACTCGTGCAGGGAGACGGAGCCGAGCGCGGAGAGGTCGATCCGCCTCTTGACCTTGGACCCGTCGGCCGAGAGGTTGTAGAGCGCGCCCGTCGTGAGGGCGAGCAGCCGCTGCTGCACCTTGCCGCGCCCATTCTTCTTGGCGACGGGGCAGAGGTGCAGCAGCCGCTCGGCGGAGCCGGCCTTGCCTCCCTTGCCGCGGGCGAGCCGCTCCCGCGCGAGTCGCTCCATCACGCGCGGCGCGGCCGCCTCGAGGTCGAAGGAGGTCCGCGGCGACAGCCGCACGCCGTGCGCCGACGCCGGCCCGGATGCTCTGCTGCGAAATCCCGCGGCGTCGCGCTCGGCGCGGCAGAGGCTCAGCCAGCGCGACAGCTCCTCGGAGGCGTCGCTCCAACGCCGCTCCGCGCGGGCGCGCTCGACCATGGCGGCCGCCGTGGTGGCCTCAGAAGGCAGCGCTGCCGCCATTGGCGGCCTTGCCGCGAAGAAGCGGCCGACTTTTCGGGTTCGCTCGCTATTCCAAATCGCACAACTCCGCCAGATGATCCGACAGCATACACACAGCAAGCAAGAAGCCGCTCGCAGCTCACACGCTTGTGGCGGGCACGGCTCGTCAGTGCCTTAGTGTGAATGAAGGACTCTGACTGTCGTTGCTATCTCCCTTTCTCGACTGTCTGAGCTTGTGCGTCTTGGGTCCGTGGTTGCGTTTTTGTGTGAATGAAGGAGAGGGAAGCTAAAAAAGAAAACGCCGGTCCCGCGCGTTTTGGCTCCCCCTTCGCTTGGCGGTTCTCCCTCCATGCTGACGATGGCCGGCGAACACCTCACCGCGGCGGAGCTACGCGCGCGCATCGAGGAGCAGCGCGCCCTGCGGGTCACCCTACAGGAGGATCGGTCCACCCTTACTCGCGAACTCGAAGAGGCGAAGGAGCGGCAGCAGCTGCGGCGTGAGCTGGAGCAAGAGAGCCGCATCAACGCTGGGATTCGCGCTAGCAATGGCGTCAAGGGGAGAATCCGCATTCGCATCGACAACGACGAAGCGGGGGACCTGGACGGCACACCTCAGCAAACCGAGCAGAAGCCGAAGCCGGCTCCCTCCTCCACTCTGGCCAAGTCCACCGTGTCGTATGCGAGCGACGTGGTGAAGCGCGAGTATGTCTGGGAGGTGCAGGGCCTGTCCTGGCTCGAGCAGCAGCTCACGCAGGAGGGGCGCGAGTGCACCAACAGCGAACTCTTTGAGGTCGACCGCACGGACGAGTGCTCGACGTACATGCTCGCCTTCAGCCCGCGCGGCGGCAGCCTGCAGCACGAGATGGATGATCAGTTCGAGATGTTCGTCGACGACCTCTGCGGCACCCTTGCGCTCATTCGTTGCGCTGACAACTACGGCACCAACCTCTGCTACCGCTTCTTCGTGCGGGATGCGAGTGGAGAGTTCCAGCCGCTGGGGGACACGACGCGAGTGGCTGTCCCTGCGCGCGGCGAGTCGTTCTGCTTCGTTGGCGGTCCCGATTTGGAGACGGAGTCGAAGGGGCTCTTTGGCCTGTCCTTCGACGAGCTTCTCGGCAGCGAGTGGGTCAAGGACGACTCGATCTGCTTCAAGGTTTGCATCGAGGAGGCTGCCATGAAGGACCACCCCAGCCAGGGGCTGGTCCGTGTGGGGCATCACGCATCGATCTACGAGCACACGCCGCCGTCGGTCGAGGTGCCGCCCCCCACGCTCAAGGCAGACTTCCTCTCTCTCCTCACAGAGGGGCGCCACTCCGACGTCACCATCGAGGCCGTCTACGGCGAGGCTTCGCCCGTGACCTTCAGCGCGCACACAAACATCCTCAGCCAGCGCAGCGACGTCTTCGCGGCCGCCTTTGCGCACGAGATGCGCGAGAGCACCACGCGCACACTCACGGTGCCACAGAGCCGGGGACTCGCGGCCAAGTGTCAGCGGTGTCCTATCTTTACGCCCCCCAGCTTTGCGCAGGTGACGGACGTGCCGCCGCCCGCGCTCAAGGCGCTGCTGCACTTTCTGTACACGGACGACTTTGACGAGGTGCAAAAGGTGCTGCGCGAGGAGGGCTCGTCGGAGGCTTCCTCCTCTTCGGGCGGCGCCTCCTCAAGCGGCGCCTCTGGCGCGGCGGAGCAGAGCATCGCGCAGCTGCAGGCGGTGCTCGCCGCGGCGCACAAGTACGGCGTGCTGCGGCTGCTGCGCTGGGCGGAGGGGCAGCTGTGCGACAAGCTGTCCTGCGAGATGGCGTGCTCGCTCCTCAGCCTCGCGCACGTCTACGGCGCCACCGAGCTCGAACGCAACTGCCTCGCCTTCATGAAGGCCAACATGGCGCAAGGTGAGGGAGAGGGCCAACGCAGGATGGATCACAGCCCGCCCGCACACATGAGTCGCATCACACCTCCCCCGCCCTTCCCGCGCAGTTGTCAAGCGCGCCGACTTTGCGGCCCTCGCGCGCGAGGCCCTCGTCAAGTTCCACATGCATTGCGCGGGCGTCGACCCGGCGGAGGAGGAGCCGGGCCGCAAGCGCAAGCGCGACGGGGAGTAGACGGAGCTCGAGACTCGACATGGCACGGCTGCTCCACTGCCCTTGCGCCTTGGGTGCCTGGCAGCCCGAGTCGCGAGCAGCCCGAGCAGCGGCGATCCCTGCGCTGGCCACTCCTGGCGAGACGCATTTGTACATGTAGCGCTGCGTGGGCTCGGTGGAGTGCGCAGTAGAGCCATAGGGCAGGGCGCCGACATACGTTGAGCTTGTGAGGTTGACAGTCCGTGGTGCTGGTGGCTGGGTGTGGGTTGCTTGACCTTGTTGCTCGCGGGTTTCTTTTTGTCGGGCCGTTCTCCACGCAGGCACGCTACGCGTCCGAGAGTTCCCTCGCAGCGCGAGTCCGTTCCACACCCCTCGCCTCACGGCTCCTCAACCTTCTCTGGACTATCTGCTAGTCTGACGAGCACGACCTCGCTGTCCCTCTCTCGCTCTCTCGTCTCACACTCATCACTCTCTCACAAGCTCTGCTCACGTGCGCTTCTCTCGACGACTGTCGACTCACACCTTTGAGATCTGGAGCGTGGAGGCGCGTGGAGGCGCCGTGGTCCGCCGAGATGCTCTCAGTCCCGTGAGGGCGCGGGCGGGGTGGTGTGGAGGGCTGGTCCTGGTGCTGACCCTGCAAGAGTCGTGACGCCGCTGCTTCCGTTCCGTGTGACGAGGGCCTTGCACTTTGAATGTGCCGTGGGGCTCCTGTCGTTAGACTTGGAGACGCGAGGGTTGCCCCCCCTTGCCCCACCACCTCGTGTGTGTGGAGAAGTTTACTACCTTACCTTTACCTTACCTTACCTTACCGAGGGGGCATGCGGCGATGGTGGAGGTGCATCAAGGCAGCACGAGTCGGGTTTCGCCTCCTGCGCGCCTCACACACAGTGATCACCTCGCGAGCGGCCGACAAAGTGAGCGCACGACCGCCTCCCTCTCACTCACCCCCCCCACGATGCGCAGCCCGTTTGTTCTCGCCGAGAGGGCGCTCTGGCAACCATCGCTGGCCTCTCGGCCGGCTCACGGCCGCTCAAAAGGTCGCGGACCCGCCCGTCGCTTGCCGCCCCACACTCGCCACTGCCCGCGACACTCATATGCGACTCCCGCCCGCTCACCTCACCCGAGCCCCGCCGCCTAGGCACGGCCCGACGAAAGCCCGTCGAGAAGAAGTTCAGGCAGCCATCGAGAGCCTCCCTGCGAGCTCATGGGCGCTCAAAAGGTCGCGCACCCGCCCGTCGCTTGCCGCCCCTCTCCCAGCCTTTGCCGGCGACGGGATCACGAACCTAGTGCTCAGTTCCGTCTTCCTCCCCCTCTTCCCTGTCTGCAGGCCGTCCCGCGCTGGCGGGAAGAGGCGCGCCGACCCGAGCCATCGGCGACGTCCTGGCGAGCTCATGTCCCCCCAAAAGGTCGCACCCGCCCGTGGCTCCGCCGTCGGCTCCGCCGCGAGCGGCGACCGTGACGCCGTCGGCGCTCGCCTATACCGGCTAGTGTGGAGCTCTAAGTGTGGGCGTGTTGTACTAGTGATGCTGCACTAGGCGGCCCGTTTTTAGCAAAAACCAGATACCACATCGCGTGTGGTCGTCGAAAAACCGCAGCGATGTCGGTCCTCACTGGCTTGCCGGGGTCATGGGCCCCCCCCCCTCTAGCGCCGCCGGAGGCGGCGTAGCTTCCGAGAAGCTCGGTCAGACACACGGGGGAGAGACGGACACCACATCATTACGAATGACGCAAAAATACGTCACGGAGAGCGTGTAGAATGGCTAATTTCGCCGAGAGCGCGCCGCGGGCGCACCTGGTATACGGCCCCGGAATGAGTCACTGATTAAAGTTGGGCGCCTTTGGTCGAGGCTTCCCCGGTCCTCACTGGCTTGCCGGGGTCATGGGCCCCCCCCCCTCTAGCGCCGCCGGAGGCGGCGGGGACTGGCTCGCCAACGAGCTCTACGAGCCGTCCCGGCGCGGCAAAATTGATGCGGCCTGCAGGGACCGAAAGGTCGCCGACCTGATCACGGCTGCCGGCGCCTCGGCGCCGGCCGACGCCGTGTTCAGCGGCAGGTTCGCGACGGGCGAGACGCCCCGCTCGACGACCTCCGCCTCCGAGGCGGACGAGGGGGCGACGGCGTCGGCGGCGATGGCGGGACCGGCATCGAGCACTTTGACCTTTTCGAGCCGGACCCCACCCCCATGGAGGATCTCTGAGGTCCTCCCCAGTCTCACCCCACCTTACCTCTGCCCTCCCCTCCCCCAATCCCTCTGCCTCCCATAGGGCAGGATAGCACTAGCATATGCGCCGAGTGCGCACACTGGGCCCACATAGATGTGACCCGCCCACTCGAGTGCGGCGCCCGGATGCTAGTGCTTGAGAAGACACCACAAACGCGGCACGGCCCGTTCTAGACCGTTTTGGATGTCTGTGGAGATTCTGTCTTAGCACACACAGTGAGTCATTCGGAGTCATTCGATGTCCAGAGTGCGATTGTGTGTGTGCGGGAGTTGGTTTGTCGGGAGAGGGAGGGGCAGGCTGCTCACCCACGTGCACTGCACCGGGCCAGTGCTTGCACTTTGAATGCCGTGGGGCTCCTGCCCGTGTCCGGGCGTGGAGATGCGAGGGTCGCCCCCCCTTGCCCCACCACTTTGTGTGTGTGGAAAAATTTACCTTACCTTACCTTAGATAATGTCGTGAGCATGCCCTCCCGCGGCGTCCCGCATTCCACCGTATCCCTCCGGCATCCACCACCAAACCTCCGTGCAAGTTCAGTGCACGAGGGGAGGCCTGTGCTCCCCCGCTCACCACTCCCCAGAGAGAAACTGCCGCACAACATGTGCACTTCTCTTCGGTTGCGTCATCCGCGCGAGAGCGCGATGAATGCCGCCTTCGCCGTGGTGCGGGGGGGAAAGCCAGCGGGCGACAATTCGCGCCAACCGCACGCCTCGAACTGCTTGAGCCACCAACCGCGAGGCTGCACCGTGAGGTGGAGTGTAAGCTCCGCGCCGTCCAGCGACATCTTCCGCCCCTCGGGAACCGTGGAGATGCGGAGGAAGAGGAGGGAGCGGACGACGCGCGAGACCTCGGCAACAACGCGCGGGACGTCGGCGGGGCGAAGGTGCTCGAGGACGTCTGCCGACACGCCCGCTTCGAAGAAGGCGTCGGCAAAGGGGAGCGCCGTGAGGCTCGCGCGCTGGAGGCAGGCCGGGGCGCCACCATGCGTCGCGCAGCGCCGGCCGCGGCCTAGTTGGAGCGCCTGCTCAATCGACGCGCCAGAGACGTCAACGCCGTAGGCATCGAAGCCGGCGTCGGCGAACGCCTCGACGCCGTGACCAAGCGAGCAGCCGAGCGACACGAGCCGGATGCCCGTGCGCGCGCCGTAGTGCCGCCGGAGGTGCGGCGCCAGCGCAGCCTCTAACGAACGGTTCGGGTCATGGTACGCATGCGCGCGGTCGAGGCGGTCGTAGACCTTGTAGGCGTCGGGCGTCCCGATTGGTTCGCCAACGTCGGGCGTCCCGATTGGTGCGCCAACGCGGTGGCCCTCGAGCCCGAGGCCCAGGAACGGAGAGAGCGAGTAGATGAGCAAGCCCGGGTACCGCGCCTGGAGGAGGTCGCGGAGAACGAGCGTGTCGTGGGTGATGTTGATTGCACCAATGTCGCCCGATAACCACGCGGCGTAGGCGGCGCGGCCTGTGACGCTGCCACGGCGCGACTTGCGGGGCAGCGCCCAGGACTGGGCCAGCGTCGCGCTGTCGTGGTAGCCGCCGAAGTTTGCCTCGCCGTCGAGAAGCGCAAGGTCGTGGCCGCAGACGATGATGCGCGCCGCGCCGAGGTGAGCCGCGAGGTGGATCGCGGTCGTGATTGTCGAGTCGCTGACGACAAGCCGGTCGCCGGGCGGCGGCAGGCCCTCGAGCCGCGAGCCGTTGCAACGCTGTGTGTGACACGCGTGGTCCGCCACGACGATGCGGCCCGCGTCCAGCTCGGCGCTGAAATGCGTTAGGACCGTGCGCGCGTTCTTCCAGCCCTGGCCGCCCTTGTGGCCGCGCGTGACGACGTGCGTCGTGCGGTTGCCCGCGGCTGCCAGGATGTCGCGGAACGCGTGCGGCTCCAGGTCCTTGCGCACGAGGTAGGTGAGTGCCCTGACGTGCCGGTTGACCTGGTTGACGCCGACGGTGACGCGGCCGCGGAAGAACGCCGGGTCCACGAAGCCGAGCGTTCGACCCGATCCGAGCACGTAGACGTCGGCACCCGCATGCCGGCCCTCCAGCGCGCGCAACGTCGTCCGCGCCGCGCGCTTTTTGAGCGATTCGCGCGTTGAGAGGTCGCGCCGCCGCCGCACAACGGCTGGCGCCCAACGCAGCGCATTCGCCGCCGCAACGGCCGCGAGCTGCCGCTGCGCGTCGACAAGCGCCGCGTGTACGGCGCTGCGGTTCGCATCGATGGCGTCAAGCACGCCCGTCAGCTCCTCGGCGAGGCCCGGGCCGCCGCGCAGCCGCCGCGCGGGCGCCAGCTCCACGGACCACTCCGGGTGCCCGACGTCGCGCGCGAACGCGCGGACCTTCTCGTGCGTCACGAGCGAGATCGTCGCGACGTGGAGGCCGAAGGGAATCATGACGCCGTGGCCGCGGCTCGAGGCCGCCACCGTGACGCTGCGGTAGTAGTCGACGACCTGCAGCCAGTCGCGCTGCGAGGGCTGCGGGCCGTCTCCTCGGCGTCTTCGCGTATTCGCGTTGAAAGTTATCGTCTCAAACGGGAACGCGCGCGTCCCCTGGAGGCGGTGGAGGAGGCGCCGGTCCGACGTCGCCTGGAGGACGACGTGGACGGTCCAGCCCGCGGCGTGCGCGCCCGCGAGCCAGGCCTCGAGCGCCGCGAGCACCGCCTCCTGGTCCGCCGGCGGCCCGAGCCGGAGGCCGAGCTCGTCGTCCGCGAGGTTGACCGCGAGCACGCCGCGGCCGCCGGCACCGGCGCGCGGCGTGCGGAGGAGCGACTCGGACGCGAGGCACGGCTGGAGCGTCGCGAGCAGGGTCGTCGCGCAGGACTGGTAGTGGAGCGGCAGGTCCGGCGCTTGCGCGGCGACGGCGCTGAGGCTGTAGGACTCGCGGAGCGTCACGTAGCCGCCGCCGTGCGTGCGCGCGGCGAGCGCGGCGAGCGAGGCGAGGTATGCGGCCCACTGCGCGGCGGGCGGCTCGGCCTGACCGCGGAACGCGTTCCAGCCCACTGCGAACAGGAACACGGGCGCCTCGAACCCCAGCAGGTGCGCGCGGTGCACGGGCCACTGCCAGCCCGACACGTTCTGGCGCGCGTGCGCGTTCGCCGGGTAAAACAGACCGCCGCCGCCGACGAGCACCGCGCTCGCGGCGGCGTCCGCGTCCTCGACGTCGCGCGCGGACGTCGGCACCCGGACCTCGCGAAGCGCCCAGGCCGGCGCCGCGCCGAAGAAGTACTCGACGGCCATGCGCGTCGCGCGCGGCAGGACGCTGTCGCCGGCGTTCTTCTGGACGCCCGTCGTCGAGTAGTGCACGAACGTGCCCAGGCCCCGCCGCCCGGTATCGCAGAGCGGCGCGAACCGCCCCGCCGCGTCCGCCGCACCGACGAGCTCGCAGAACGACGCCGCGCGCCATGATAGCGGCCCTGCGCACGCGGCTGGCGCGACCGGCGCGCGCCGGAACGCGTGGAGCGCAACGCCGTCCCACGCGGCTAGCGCGTCGTCGAGCCCGGCCGCGCGCGGCACCGGCGCGGCCAGCGCGGCGCCATGGAGGACGAGCATATACACCCAGACACCCAGACACCTGTAGGGGGGGTGTTGGTCCCAACGGCGCCTCTTTGCGTTGGTTGGGCCCGAAATTCTTTTTGCTCTGAGGAAGCCGTCGCCCGCGCCTCGCCTGTCGCGTGAATCGTGTCGTGCGACCGCCTTGTCTTGTTCTAAAATTCTTTTTGGCGGGGGCGGGCGGGTGCACGGAGCTAAGTGCCTCGCCGCCCTCGCAGGAGTCGCTTAGGCGGCTCCCGTGGTGTACCTGTGTTCGTGCCAGTGCGCGCCAGTCCCGTGCCTAGTCCCGAGTGAATCGCGTTCTAAAATTCTTTTGGCGGCGGGCGGGGCGGCAGCCGTCGGAACGCCGGCGGGGGCGGTGCTCGAGCGAGCGGGCGCGAAGGCCGGGCGAGGCGGCGGGCGGCGGGCGGGGCGGCGGGCGAGGTGGCTGGCGTCGTGTGCGCG